GCTTGCAAGATCCGCCCCCCATGTAAAAATGCTTTGTTTGGTGGCTTATGCTTGTATCCTAGTACTGAATAGGCAGGATTCAGCAGGATATTTTGGCTCTTTGGTAGGCAGCCTAACCTCATTGATGATCTCAGGAGATTAAGAGACCTTAACTCAAAGGAAATATGCACCAGACTGGGTATGTACCAGACTGGAGAATGACATCGGAGGTTGTGTTCTGCTCCCCCCACCTCTCTCTCCCTCTCTCTCTCTGTCTGTCTGTCTGTCTGTCTGTCTGTCTCTCTCTGACACACACACACACACACACACAAGAAAAAGAGATAGCAAGTTTCCTGAGATAATAGTTATACCTGAGACTTTAATCTCATGATTGTTGAACAGGTGATTTTCAGTTCCCACAAACAAAGGAATTATACACTGCAGCATAAAACAAAAGAAAAGGATGAATAAGAAAAAAAAGGGTGGGGGCATGAAGCTTCATTTCACATTGGTAGGGACAAATACAGAAATGGAAGGTATATGCTGGCTGTTCTCCAAAAAAAAAAAAAATGGTCCCTTTATCTTAATCCCTCATGTGACTATGAATATTTAAAAGCAGTTAAAGTTTTTTTTTTTTGGTTTTTACGAGACAGGGTTTCTCTGTATTGTTTTGGAGGCTGTCGGTCCAGCCTGGCCTCGAACTCAGAGATCCGCCTGCCTCTGCCTCCCAAGTGCTGGGATTAAAGGTGTGTGCCACCACCACCCGGCTGTTAAAGGTATCTTTAACCATTATCTCACCTTTACCTTGAGTAATTTCTTCTTACTCATGGAGGGGCAATCAGGACTCTAGGATATTTTATTCTAGGGATCTGAGCAAGGATTTCACTTCAACTCTCTGCTATTAAATTACTAGTTCCCCTGTCTATGAACACATGCATATATATATATATGAATAAATAACATGTTATTCTTAACCTGAATTAGAGCAGACCACCAAATCCATGTTAATAAAACAATTAAAAACTCATACATATAAGTAACATTATACAGACTAAGAAAGGTTTATTTACGTATTCAGGAATGTTTGTGTGTGTGTGTGTGTGTGTGTGTGTGTGTGTGAATTTGAAAAAGAGAACAAAGGAGCTGGCACATGGAAGGGTGTGAGGGCAGAAAGAGAAGGAAGAAGTGAGGCAATTATATTATAATCTCAAGAAAATTTACTTTAAAATATAAAGAACATAAAAACAGAAAGGCAAAACAAAAACACTGAGATGGGAAATTTACATGACGGCTATTTTAACTTAGGTAACAAAGGAAAGTGTTTCTCCTTTGAAGGTGCAAAGAGTCATGAGTAAGGTTTTACAGTACTTAGAAAAAGCATGTTGTTTATACACAATAATGTATATTGACTATAAAGTTACTCATGTGTTGCTATGTAAAATGCTATGTTCTCTTGAAGAAGACTTTCGGTGAATAGAAAAATGAGGAAAACATTTAGCACTGTTGAGAAGTAATTAAAAATATAGTTTACCATATGGTCTTCTATCATTAGTTCATTTCAGCAAAACAAATTCAGGAAGCATTTATTATCCTCTGTCATTTTTAAAGAGGCCTAATGTTCACATATGCCACTTAAGTCATGAACAAAGTGAATCAGATTTGAGAGAATGACAAGAAATTCATTTGTCTGAATTCAACAAATTACACTAAATGAGACTATGTGAATGTCCTTCCCCATGTGTAAGAACTTGTTAAAATGATTTATCTCTAGAAAGGCTTTACTCAGGCTGCTGGATGGATGGCATGTTTAAAGACTGCATACGTTCTTTCCAGATTCAAAGTGTCTAAGACACAATGAGAGGGTATTTCCAGTCATGGCCTCTGTAACAGGCTTAGATGTGGTCATGAGGGGTGGATTCTCATGAGGGCAGGAGTGTCCATAGATGGAGAGTAAGAAAACACAGAGGCCTTTTTGCCAGGTGATGAGAAGTTAGCAGTCTGAACCCAGATGAGGGTTTTCCCCAGTATCCTAACTGTGCTGATACACTGATCTTGGATTTCCAGCCTCAATAACTCTCATAAATATATGTCTTTTTTGTTAAACGCCATGCCTTTCAGTAATGTGTAAGAGCAGCCCAAGCTGATGAAGCCATTTAGAAGGCTCCTTTAGTGATGCGAAAACATGAGAGTTTTCTGTTTAATTAAAAGAAGTAAATCAAACATACACAATTTTCATTTTAAAAATCCTGTGTAGTTCCTCTAAACCAGAGATGTTCATTTTAGTTTATTCAATATGATTTATGAATTCATGAAGAATATTCAAAGGAAACATTTTTCTTGAAGTGACACTAAAGCTCCTTATTACAGGAATATACTATTTGCAAAATAAAGCAATTAATGAGGAAATGCACCGAACAGTGGCTTCACAGATAATAACATAATAACCTTCTGAATGGTTTTTACTTTCACACTGTTGGAATCAATATTCCATTCTCATAGGCGAGTTTGTGCCATGTTTCTGGGTTGGTCTTTGGCTCTCACATAACAGTATTTGCAATGTGCTCTTATCAAACTGGCTTTCTCATGATTGCCTCTTAGACTTAGGTCCCAAGAAGGCAGATTTTTGTCCTTATTTTGATAAAGTGTTAAGTAGTCAAGTAAGGACCAAGATGGCTATGGTAGTCATAGGAGAATTCACTATTAATGTTGTTTTGTTATTGGTCACACTGGCAAACTGCATTCTCAGTGTCTATGTCTAGACTATAGGTTTGAGGGTCTCTTTCTCTTTTGCTACCACACTCACTGAGTCATATCTGGATGAATGGATACAAATGGGCATAGATGAAGGTTAGCTGTGTGGATGAGTGAGCATGTAATTCTGTGTCTTTTATAGAACAGGGTTTTTAGGAAATAACTTATTTAAGAGAAGAGGGTCATGAATTTTAACATTAGAAAAAGAAAATATAATCTCAAATGATAATGATCACCCAAGAAACCAAAATCACAGAAGCTTCTTATTGAAGTGGGTAATAGTTGATTCAAAGACTCAAAATTGGTCAAAGTACTAAGACTAAGCAACTGTGAGTTTTCAGCTGTACATGGAACATTTACATCAGCATCTATACTTAGCAAAGCTCAAGAAAGGGAGGGAAGGAAGAATGGGTAAGTACCACAGGAAGGGGTTGTTGTAAAATGCTGAGCTACAAACACGAGGTGGATGCATAGCATTTGTGGTTATAATCATAGAACCCATATAACATAAAGCCAGATAAAAATTCTAAGATAGTAGGATAAGGAGTTCACAAGGTCCTAAGCCTGGGTGAGGATCAATTGACATTTGATGCCTACTATGGAAGGAAAGTTACTTTTCACAAGGTGGATTCCATTTGGTAGCCTATTCATTTCCCATTGGATAACTCCACATGGATGCTTCCATAGGCAGCATTAATTGGACTCAGGGACTTACCAATATTTTTAAAAAGGGTCTGAAGTTTAGAATGAGAAGTGTTGGGGAGCAGAAAGAGTTGGAGGGGAAGGAATGAGGATTAATATGATAAAGATGCATTGTATATTTGTATGAAATTTTCAGAGAATAGGAAAAAATGATTAATCCCATCATCATTGGTCTGCTTACCCCAACCCTAAGACTTTCTTATGTATCAGGAACTATGTCAATGTGCATGACCACACCTAACACAACTCAACTTCAGAAACTGCCCCTTCCTTGTATTCCAAGACAGCCATCCTGGTCTGTTGTCTATGCAATATGTGATGGCTATTGACTTGAATATATGTGGAAGTAACTAAAACCTCAAAAGGGAGGACACACATGTAGGGGATTTCTGCTTAATTTTAAGTGGGAAGATCTACTTCTACTTAGAATCTTTGAGGTAGGAAGACACAAATTTAACTAAGGAAAAAAACACAACTTTAATCTGTGCTACACATCTACTAGGAGCCTACATAAGGACATGAAAGAAAGAAACTTTTATTCTTTTCCTGATTGCTCTTGCCTTGCTGGCAAGTCCATTATTTGGCTGGCATTAGAACCAATTTCTTAGGAATTCCAACATCTATTGAAAACCAGCCTTATGGACTGAGCAACTTTTTTTGATTCTTGGATTTTCCACTCATAGCCAGACACTTTTGGATTATAGCCTGTAAATCATTCTAATAAATCCCCTTTATACACACATATATGTATATGTGTATGCATGTATGTATATATGTATGTGTATGTGTGTGCATGTATATGTATATGTTTATGTGTGTGTAATCTTAGTTATGGTTTCAGCTGCAGTAAAGGACACAATGGTCACAGAAACGCCTACAAAGGAAAACAATTTATTGGGGTGGCTTATAGTTTCAGAGGTTTAGTTCATTCTCATCATGGCAGGACATGGCAGCATGCAGGCTGACATGATACTGGAGAAGGAGTTGAAAGTTTTATGACTTGACCCACAGGCAACAGGAAGTGAACTGTGACACTGGGCATAGCTTGAGCATAGATGTCCTGAAAGCTCAATCCCACACTGACACACTTCCTCCAACAAGGTCACACCTACTCCAAAAAAGGTACTTCTTTCAAACTAAGATAGATAGATAGATAGATAGATAGATAGATAGATAGATAGATATGAGAGAGAAATTCATTCTGTAATTTCTGTAGTTCTGTTACTCTAAGGAACAATGACTAATACACAATAAAAGACCAGTTGTCTTGGGGTCAGTCATGTCAGAAAAGATGATGAACTTTTCCTGTGTGTTTTTCCAGACCCTTCTTTACTCATTGATGTCACTCTGGCCCTTATATTTAAAATGTCACCCCTCCCCAGCTCTTCCTCTAATTTAGTTTTATATGTATTTATATGCTGTGAACCTCTCTTTCCCCACATTAGGCTATTACTAAGTTCCATGAATGACAAGCAATCCATCTGTCCTGCAGACTCCTCACCTGTGATCAGGACTTGCTTCTCAACTTTTAAGAAATGGGTGAAAATGAATGGTAAAAATGGAATTATGTGTTCATTTCAGCAACACATTACTAAATTTGAAAGACACACAGAAGATTGGTGTGGTTCCTGAGGAAGGATGACTCACAAATTTGTGAAGAATTGGAATTATAAGAAGTCCTACTCTACTAGACCTAGTATAGTACTTTATCCCCCAAAGTAACCCATCACTCAGAATACCTGGTAACAGAGCTTGGCTTTGAGGAAGTAGTCTAAGTGTACCCTCCATTATTTTCTAGGCGAAAGAAGGACATAGCAGAAGAAACAGGAGCGGAAACATATGCTGCCTCTTCAAACAGCCAATGAAAACTGGTTTTCTCTCTATCAGCTCCGATTCCTCTTTGTTTTACAACACAAGAAAAGAAAAAAATGAAAATAAAGTGGAAATCTGAAGAATGCAAGAACAGGAGGAATCACAAAATTATGTTTTAATTGGTCCACAATGTAAATACAGTCAAGATCTACTTATAGTGAGCCTGGTGCAGCATGCACAGTTATTATCACTGCCATGCCTTCTATTTTGTTTATGGATAAGGCACAAAAAGTCTTTTTCAATAAAATTTTCACTTTAAATAGCCAGAGAACCTTTAATCTCAATCTTACTCATTTTTTTGGAACAATTTCAGTTGTGGATAAACCTCACTAGTGCCATGTATATCAATATTAGCAAACATTATAAGAGGGAATGATGTTAATTTTTCAAAGTGGCAGAATTATTTATGTTTAAAAATACACAATCACACACATGCACAAATACTTCATATGTATGCCTACACACATATATACTTATATATGCACATATGTATATTATTTTGATATACAGTTTTAAGCAGGTTTAAATTCAGATTCATACTTTTTTATAAATGGACTTTCCTACAAATTCTATCCTTTGCACCTCATTGAGATGAGATATCATCAATGTGCACTAAGTTGAATATTTTTAAAATATGCAATTTTGTCAATATTGATGTACAGATACCATTGCCAGAAAGAAAATAAGAATTTCCATTATCCTCCAAAGTGTGTCTATAACAATTTTTATCCAATTCTAGATAACCACTAATCTGCTTTATGTAACCAGTTTTTTTCTAAAGAAATTTATATAAAAGGAATAAGATATGTGTTCTTTGGTACAGCTTATTTCCTTTCCTATCATCAAAAGGCATACAAAGATAGGAAAAGTACAGTTTTTTAAAATATGAAATTAATTTGTAGGCACTATTCATGAGAGAGCCTAGACACCAGTATCACAAGGAAAGACTTCAAAAGCATAGTGTTAAATATGCTCAAGAACACATGAGCAGAGAAGCAAAGGCTGGGTGTGGTATCCCAGGCTGTAACCTTAGGACTTAGGAAACAGAGACAAGCTGATCACCACATAGCTGGGGCCAGCCTTGACTATACAGTGAGATCTTTCTGAAGTAAACAAGAAAATACAATAAACAGAGAAAAGGAACCAAGCAAAATGGTAAAGACATAATATGAAGACAGAAGATAGTTCAAATTAAGAATCAAGTTGCAACTGTAACACTAAGATGGGCAATTACAGTCATACAAAAATTCAAAACTAAGGCTTGAACAAGTAGAGAAAATATTCAGCAATTGGAAAGAAAATTGAGGTTTTTGAGCCTGATAACTAAGAAAAGGAGAAGAGAGCAATTTATTATTTCCTAGAGAATTCATAACATGCCATCAGGTCTACCTACATATGCACCATGGATTTCCCAGGAGGAAAAGAGAGAAAGAAAATGACAGGAAGGAATATTTGAAAAAATAAAGGCTGAAAACTTCTTACATTTGAAAAACACACATGTACACATGCACACACATGAACATACACATGCATACACCCAAACATTAATATTAACAAATCCAAAAATTTAATCCAAAAATCTCAATCAGCTTCAGGAAGGGTCAACTGAAAAGCACACACATATGAGGCCCACACATTGTTGTATGACAAAATTTTTAAAAAGCATGAATGGAAAAATTGCTTGTCAAAAGAGAGACGACCAGTTTTTCATCAGAATCAATGGAGAACAAAAGACATTTCGATGACACAGTTCACATTATAAATACTAGAAAAAAGAAAACTATCAACCAGAAAGCCTATGCCACAAGAAGACTGATTCAGAAATTAGGACATAGTAAGACTTACCATATTTAAAATGCTATGGGAGTTAATTCACTCAGATCTTCTTAAAAAATAGAGACAAAATGGTTAATATAATTTTAGAGAATTTTTGAAACTTAGAATTTCCATATGTCAAAGGAAATATTTAAGAAAGTGATAATATAGTTTTTTTAAGTTTAAATTTGGATTATAAACAAGGTTACTTCACAAGTCAGTTCCAGGTTCCTCTCCATTAACCCCCTCCTCCTGTGCCCTCCCCCCATCCCCCCAAATATCTCCTCATTTCCCCAGGGAGGGTGAGTTTTAGAATAGAAAAAATGTATCTGCAAACCACATGTCATAAATGTCTATTGTCCATCGTCTATTATAACTAATATCTAACTCTTATAATTCAACAAAAAGATAAAATACATTTCAAAATCTGGCAAATGTCCAAATTGTATGGCTATTAACCCCATGAAATGTGCTTGTGATTATATATATATATATATATATATATATATATATTATATGGGGTATGAAAATAAAAGTCTCAAAGAGATAACATCCACACCATGAGAAGAATATATACCAAAATATCAAGAAATTACAAGTGTGATGATATTGTGGAGAACCCAGAAGACTGGAATAATATGCACTGTAGCTCAATGTGGATGGAGAAGGGTGTGACATTTTCTAAAAGCTAAACTAGAACTACCAACCAACTCAGTCAGTGTACTTACTACTTAGAATTTAGCTAAGTTGTTGGAAGTATCTACTCCAACAAAATGTGGAATGCAGATATTCATTGCAATATTATCCACAGCAGAAAATAGGTAGAAACAATGTTCAGTATTAATTAGTAAAGTGAAAGTCAAAAGATTTATAGGAGCTGAAGAGAATCCAGAGTAAACCAGCACAGAACTGATCCAGACCCCCTAAACATGGGTATCAGTAAGGAGGCCTCAGCAATCTATGGAGCCTCTGCTAGTAGATCAATATTTGTCCGTAGTACACAAATGGACTTTGGGAGCCCACTCCACATAGAGGGATACGCTCTCAGTCTAGACAAATGGGGGAGAGCCTAGACTCTGCTCCAAATGATGTGACAGACTTTGAAGATCCCCATGGAAGGCCTTGCCCTCCCAAGGGAGCAGAAAGGGGAGGGATAGGGAGTTAATGGGGGACAGGGGAAGAGGGGATGGAGAGGGAACTGGAATTGACATGTGAAACAAGCTTATTTCTAATTTAATTATAAAAAATCTGGAAAAAATTAGTAGAGTAATTATCTGAAGTATGATACATACATAAACGAAAAGGAATGGAATCTCATACATGTCGAAATAAAACGAACAATCAATAGGTTGTTTACATATGCTGCACACAATAAAAAGGAAACTGTATGATTCTGTACATATGAATCATTTTAAAATGTCCAAGTTCATAGACACAAAACTAAGAGACTATAGGGAACTGAGGTGATGGTTATTTATAGTTCTTGTTTAGTGGTGTCAAAGTATTTGTTTGGAATGAGGAAGAGATTTCAGTGTCTGATAGGGGTGATGGCTACAGAATGTCCAGAATATAAGTACAACTGAGCTGAACATGTTAAAAGTTTAAATAAGTATATTTTGCTACATTTGGTCATTAAGTATAAACAAAAGTCTATGTCATAAAAATCAGTATTTTATACACATGCCATTACTCTTAGTAAGATTTTATAAAACATTTAGTCAGGATCAAAACAACATCATAACAAAAATGTCATTGAAATCGAACCATTTAGATATTATCTAGCTAAGGAGGGGCTTAATTCCTGATACAGCCATTACAAATTTAAATATTTTTAAGTTAAAATGCAATTACTGTTTCTAATCAGCAAACATTAGAGTCAAGCAAGCCAGGCCACAGTAAAGAGCCAGTGTTCTCTTGTCCTCTGTAGCTAGCAGAGAGCTAGAGCCTACCTTTCCCGCCCAGTTTTACTGGTACTTCCTGACTAAACTGCATTTGTTTAACAATATAGAAAAATGCTATGTGTGTTGAACCTTGCATAAGTCCTCATTCTAACATATGTTAACTAACCCTCTAGCTGATGACGCATACACTAACGGGAATTTTATTTATGAGGGCTCTAGATTAAATAGGTTATTCACACCAGCATCACCTGTTACTGATCTAGTTAGTGCAGCTTTTCATTGTGCTGTTTGGTCTAGACTGAGTTCAGTTTGTTTCTTTTTTAATATTCAAGGGGAAAAACCGTACAAGGTTTGTTTTTTCCTTGTGGAGTCTAAACATTGGGGCAAAAATACAGCTTCAGCTACCAGACCTCTGCCAGAGAAGATGGGTTAGTTTACACCTGGTTACTGTCCTGGCAAAATCCCTTTTATAGAGATGGCCTTCAAATGGTTTTTAAAAGCATCCTATTAAAGTTTTTAGGTCAATTATGTATGTTGACTAAATTTACAAATAAACATGTTAATTCAAAAAAGAGTGCAAGCTGAGTCATCAGTAAGCAAGGGGTTGTTTGTAACACAGCTCCACAATTAAGGGATTCTACTTACCTTTTTTATGGTAGATAAGCAGGAATGAAGAATAGGTACCCATACAAAAGATATGAGGCGGTAGAATTTTGTAGATTAAGTAAAATCACTCAACAAAGAATAGTATGGATCCTGGGTTTGTGCTGTATTTTTAACATGTAGAAATACAAAGGAGGTCAAGACCATTATAATATTTTGATTACTTTGGTGTTACGTTTATTTAATATACATCTTTTAGTACTTGCACTTACCTTTTAATACATATTTATGAACAAATGAAGCTGACATACTTAGTATATAAAATTAGAACAGGAGACAAAGAAAGTGTCCTCCCCCAACAAGCACACCATTGCCTCTTCCCAGAAAGTCAGTACTTTTAATGTGCTGCTGTTTTCCTTCAAGATATCAAAAAGCATGGTTTCGGAATAAGAATTGATTGTCTTAACATCATGTCTTTTTCA